AATAAAATTTGAAAAAAAAGAGAGTCTAAAGGTGAAGTGTTCAGCACCATCGTTCTAGAAATGCAAAATGACACAGAGCCTACTACCCATGTGTTTCTAAAAATGAAGAAGTGATGATTAATTGTAAACCACAGGAAACGAAATGAACATGGATGAACATTTTACAACTTATACAAAAATGCACTGAACATAGTCTTCAGACTTAACTTTAAGCTTACTCTAGCCTTTACTGTAACCCTAATCCTAAACCTCACTAACTCTTTCACCCTAATCCTTCACTGTAATCCTGACCTCGCAACCTAACCCTGTTACTCACCTGATCTCGCCCTCTAATCTCTACCATGCAACTCCCAACCACCAACCTGAACCTCCCATCTGAAAGTCCTTATGCCACAATCTTTAATTGGTTAACTCTGAACCCTTCACCCCTTATCTCCTGATTTTGTAATAGGCTGACACACTAAATACCAACTGCAGTCTACGCACAACCTCATCCTGATCTCTCCTACTCAGTGCCAAGCCACTTCAAGGACTGATCTGTAACCTCAGAAATGTAGACTTAATAATCCTCAACAAGCTAATGGCAAATTTAAACCAACAGCATTGGGAAAGGGTCAAACACCATGAACGTGAGTTTTTATCCCAGTAAATCGATACCATTCATGTAACACACAGTGTTGTTAGAATGAATGAAAAACACCCCATAATTCTCTCAGCTGTTATAGAAAGGGCTTTCAACAAAGCTGGGATTACAGGTACATGCCACCATGCACAGCTAATTTTGTCTTTTTAATAGAGACAGGTTTTCACCATGTTGGCCAGGCTAGTCTTGAGCTCCTGACCTCAGGTGATCCACCTGCCTTGGCCTTCCAAAGTGCTGGGATTACAGGCGTGAGCCACTGTGCCTGGCCAAAAAATACATTTTATATGTATACACTAGCAATGAATAATCTGAAAACAAAATTATAAAAATTCACTTTAAGTGCTGGGTGCAGTGACCCATGCCTGTAATGCCAGCATTTTGGGAGGCCGAGGCAGGTGGATCACGAGGTCAAGAGATCGAGACCATCCTGGCCAACACGGTGAAAATCTGTCTCTACTAAAAATATAAAAATTAGCCACGTGTGCTGGCACACGTCTGTGGTGCCAGCTACTCAGGAGGCTGAGGCAGAAGAATCGCTTGAACCCAGGAGGCAGAGGTTGCAGTTAGCTGAGATTGCACCACTGCACTCCAGCCTGGTGACAAAGCAAGACTCCATCTCAAAAACAAACAAACAAAAAATATATATATAATTCCACTTTAAATAATACCAATAGCAGTAATATGGTTAGAAATAAATGTAATCAAAGGGTAAAACTTAGAAGGGGGAAATTATAAGACATTGCTTAATGAAATTAAAGCCCAAATAAATGTAAAAACATGTCACATTCATGGATTTGAAGACCATATTTGTTAAGTTTGCCAAACTACACAAAGCAATCTACAGATTTAATGTTATTCCTACTAAAATCCCAAAGGCCTTGGGACAGAAATGGGAAAGCTGATCCTAATGTTTATATTGAATTTCAAGGAAGCCTGAAAAGCCAAACCGATCCTGAAAAATAACTCCAAATCTAGAGGTTCGTACATCCCAATTTCAATTCTTATTACAAAGCAATAGTAATCAAAACAGCGTGATACTGGTACAAGAATAAACAGAAAGATCAACTGAATTGGGAGTCCAGACATAAAACAATACCTCCATGCTCAACTGATTTTAGACAAGATCCATAACCATTAAATTGGGGGGGGAAATGCTGTGCTCAACAAGTGATGTAAGGCAACGTGCTATCCACATAGAGGGAAATGAAATTGTAGCCTTACCTATTACCACATAGAAGAAATTAACTTAAAATGGATCAAAGACCTAAATATGGCAAAACTAAAAACTCTATAAGAAAGCATACAGTTTGTCCTTCAAGACCTTGGATGTTGCAGTAGTTTCTTAGATCTGACACTGAAACCACAAAAGGAAAAATAAATCAATTGATTTCCTCAAAATTCAAAATTTTTATGCCTCAGAAAACATGGGGAAAAAAAAAAGGTTGAACGACGAAATTGTTGTAATAGAAAAAACAACTGTCTTCTATTTCTCAACACTCAACACAGGACACTTTTGTTAACAGATGCATTGGTTTTTTTCCCCACACAGACCAAATCTTGGGTACCAGCTGGATGTCAATCCAGTTCTGACATTAACTAGAGAAAGCATCAGACCCCGCAGGCTAAGGGCTCAGTCGTAGGAACGCCGGTCATGCCTCTTGTTGCTTGCAAATTGAATTGACAAACTCAAGGATGATAAAAAGAAAGTGACTTAATGCCAGAGCTTAGATGAAGGGAACATACAGGCTCTTGCCTTTAGAAAACTTCCACTTTTGGGGTGGAAAGCGGGAGATTTAAAAGGGGGACTTTGCAGAATGGCATGCAGGGGATGGCGTGAGGAGTTGCAGGGTCTATGGGACTTGCTCTGATGTTTTATCCATTAGGTGGTCTGGCCAGCACGACCAGGGCAGAGCCAGGTTGTAAATTGACTGGCGTCTCCTGGTGGGGGAAGAGTTTGGAGATGCCTAGTTTATTGCAAGGTTTAGTCCCTGGAGCTTCTAAGTAAATGTACAGTAAGAAAAGTTTCCAGTGTAGGAAGTGTCTAGTGGAGACACAGTAAATCTTATAAAAGCATTCCTAAAGAGCTAAGCAGGAAGTGCAGAAAAAGGAAAACAGTAAAACTAATTCATTTCTTCTTTAAGAAAATACAGGTACTCAGTTGCAAGACTGTAACTAAAGATGCCAATCACAAATAGCAGGTTCCCAGGTTACCTTCTGTCTGATTTGGCTACACACTGGAGGCTCCCACAACACCCTTATTGGGTTCAGCATGACACATTACAGAACCCATGAAAACAGTGTGCTTACTATTGCTGACTTATTACTAAGGATATTTTAAAGGCTACAAATGAACAGGCAAATGAAGAGATGCACAAGGTGAGGGATGTGGAAGGGGTGCAGAACTCCCATGCCCTCTCCTGTGTTCCTCCCAGCATCTCCCCATGGTCAGCAGCACAGACCCTCTCCTAACCCTGTCCTTTATTATGCAGGCAGATTGGCTGCATCAGTGGCCACAAGTGATCAATTCAACCATCAGCACCTCTCTCCTTAACAGAGTTGGGAGGGGAGATGAAATTTGAAATCCTCTAATGACAAGGCTGGTTTCCTTGGCAGCCAGGTCCACTGAGGCTGTCCAGGTCCCCCCAGTCATCAGTCATCTCATTAGCATATGAAGGACACGTCACTTCATACATTCCTAAGGCTTACCACTGCCTCGGGACAAAAGGCTTAGCTCTCTGTCTGTCTCAGGACACCACAGCAGAGACCACACATTAACTCTTATTATGCCCCAATAACCCAAAAAATGGAAGAAAAAATCTGCACATTAGATACTTCATAAGTGTCTGTTATCCAAAATATATAAATAACAACTCAACAAAGACAACCAAATGTAAAAATTGACAAAGCACTTTAATACACAGTGCCCCAACAAGCACCTAAAAAGATGCATAATATCATTAGTCATAATTAAAACCATAGAGATATGCCTTAACTCACACTAGAATATTTATACTAAAAAAAAAAATTGTTGACAAAGATGTGCAGACACTTGAACTCTTTTTTTTTTTTTTGAGACGGAGTTTCGCTCGTTACCCAGGCTGGAGTGCAATGGCGCGATCTCGCCGCAACCTCCGCCTCCTGGGTTCAGGCAATTCTCCTGCCTCAGCCTCCTGAGTAGCTGGGATTACAGGCACGCACCACCATGCCCAGCTAATCTTTTGTATTTTTAGTAGAGACGGGGTTTCACCATGTTGACCAGGATGGTCTCGATCTCTTGACCTCGTGATCCACCCGCCTCGGCCTCCCAAAGTGCTGGGATTACAGGCGTGAGCCACCGCGCCCGGCTGACACTTGAACTCTTAAACATTGCTTGTGACAATATGAAATGGTGCAGCCTCTGTGTAAAATAATATAGTGCTTCTTCAAACAGTGGCAAATAGATTTACCGTATGACTCAATGATTTCATTCCTAGGTATATACCCCAAAAACCTGAAGGCAGGTGTTTAAACAAAAACTTGCATGCCGTTTAAATGTGTCAAGGTCACAAATACGCAGGAAAGACTTGGGAATAGTTCCATGAAAAGAAAACTGGATCAGAATGAAAAACACATTATACTCCCAGGTAGAGCAGGAGGTAAAAGTGAAATGAGTTTGTAGACTGAATTGTCCTGTAGGAACCATGCTGATTTCCTGATCTAGGGGTGATGTGCTGGTTACCTGGGAGAGTGTTGGTACTTTGGGTAAAACATACTGAAGTATTTTGTGGAACACTGTAAATCTGGTACAGCAATAACTGCTGGGGAATCTAACAGAAGAAACAGTTTGTACTTTGTCCTGCTGCTGGAAGTTTCCTACAAGTATGACATTATTGGAAAGTAAATTAATTTCAAAACAACCTTATCAATATCATGCCAGGAAAGCAGAGACCTCATCAAAATCCATTATAGAGGCTACAGTTCAGCCAAAGCTATGAAACACAACAGTCTCAATGTCAACAGAGTCCACTTAGTAGATATTATTACATTTCTTAATGTTAGAGGCCACTGTGCGGGTATATTAGTGTTAGGGCACGGTGTGGACACTATTACACTGGTATTAGAAGCGATGGTGTAGATATTAGATCACTGTTAGGACATAGTGTGGATATTATATTGAGTTAGGGCACAGTGTGATTATTATAGGCCACTGTGAGAATATATATTAGCAGTCACTGTGTCTTGGACGTTGACAATATCAGGGTGCAGTCAAAACAGAGGGAGTTGGGGGTTCCATTTTTCTGGATAAATTTCTTCCTCTGCTGAGTACGCTAAAGATTCCTCTGCACTCAGGGCCGTGGACAGGAAGGTTTTTACTCACCAGTGACCACCACCAAGTTGACACGACCCTCGTGCTGCCCTGAGGGTGATAAAGCTCCTTGCGGCTTCTGGAACCTCAGAGGGAAGTTAGTTGGGGGTGGGTTTGTGGACACTCTGGTGGTGCCACGGCTCAGCACAGGCGCTCTTGCTCACGGTTTCTCAGCAGACACACACCCCCTCCTGTTTGTCCTTAAATACCTATAAAATTCAATATCCAGTTTATTCAATGTCATCATTTTGGAAATCCAGTTTATTCAATGTCATCATTTTGGAAATTCAAAACAAAGTCCACTATATCCATAGCTTTCCCAAATATAGTAATGGAAGAATTATCTGGAAGCCATTTAGAATGAAATGAATGTACACACAAATTAAAACACAAAAACCTACTCAAAATTGTCCAGACTATAATTGGAAATGCAAAACTATAAAAAATCTAAAACAAAATCTATGTAACATTGAATTTGGTGTTGAGTTTTAACACACAACATCAAACGACAATTCATGTAAATATTCATAACAGACTTTATAAAACTCAATTTTATACTGTGAAAAATCCTATTCAGAGAACAAAAAGACAAGACAGATTGTGAGAAGATATTTACAAAATGCATATGTGATTTTAAAAACTGTATTGAAAATAAACAAAGAACTCTTCATAGGAACGCTAAAAAAAACTAAAAACCTAATTAAAACTGGGTAAACCTCTGAACAGACACCCAGCCAAAGAAAATATACAGATAGCATGCCAGGCATGGTGGCTCATGCCTGTAATCCCAGCACTTTGGGAGGCTCAGGTGGGTAGATCACCTAAGGTCAGGAGTTCCAGATCAGCCTTGCCAACAAGGCGAAACACCCTCCATACTAAAAATACAAATTATTAGCCAGTTGTGGTGGTGGGTGCCTGTAGTCCTAGCTCCTTGGGAGCCTGATGCAAAATCAATGCTTGAACATGGGAGGCACAGGTTGCAGTGAGCTGACATCACACAATTGCACTGCAGCCTGAATGACAGAGGAAGATGCTGTCTCAAAAAAATATATATATATACAGATAGCAAATAATCACACAAAAGGATGCTCAACATCATGTCTCATTAGGAGACTGCAAATTAAAATAACACTGATCTATCACTGCACACCTGGGAGAACTGCAGGACTCTAAAAGAAACCTCAACAGTAACAATTGGATGTTGAAGAACAATAGGTACTGTCATTCACTGCTGGTAGAATGCATTAATGGTACAGCCACTTTGGGAGATGCTTTGGCAGTTTTTCACAAAGCTAGGTGTGATGGCAGTCACCTACAATCCCAGCGACTCGGGAGGCTGAGGCAGGAGAATTGCTTGAACCCAGGAGGCGGAGGTGGCAGTGAGTTGAGATCACACCACTGCACTCCAGCCTGGGCAAGCAAGACTCCATTTCAAAAAAAAAAAGAAAGAAAGATGTTAGTAACATATCTGATACATGTTGATATGTCAATAAGAGGGGAAACTAGGTTGGGTCTACATGGGAAATCTGCATTCTCTGCCCAATTTCTGTGCGACTCTAAAACCGATTTAAAATAAAACCTTGATTAAAACATTGTATTTTTTTTTCAAATATCTGCTTAATTATTTGTACTAACAATTAGTAGTAATTGACAGTAACTACTCCTACTTTTTAAAATAAGAGCATTCATGATGCTACAAAGTAAATTACACAAACTAATATATAATTTCAATTTTTTTTTCTATTTTCTTTTTTTTTTATTATTTTTATAAAGACGGGGTTTCACCATGTTGGTCAGACTGGTCTTGAACTCCCAACCTCAGGTGATCCACCCGCCTTGGCTTCCAAAGTGCTTGGATTACAGACGTGAGGCACCACACCCAGCTATAATTTCAAAAAAATGCCTCTTTTACATGTTTTAAGATAACACATATGCATAAACATATTTATCATATCTTTTTTCTTGTGGTATGGCTCACTCTCTAGGAAAGCTGGTCACCTTAGAAATAGGGAAAAAATTCACATTTTGGAGACTATTTCAATTTACCGCTAGACACTGTCAAAAGTATTGCTTTGTAAAAAAAGAAAAAGTTCAAATTGCCAATTGATTCATTGTGACTGGATTACCTATTCTATGAATAATTTTCTTTATTTTGTTCCCCATCATTCCTTTTAGCTACAAGAGAAGCAAATATTTTCCACTGGAAAAAATATTCAAAGACAGGAAGAATAGAAACAGAATTTGTGACCACAATTATTCAATGTTTCATCATGATGCTTTCTAATACAGAAGAGTTTAAAGGTACATTCAAAGTTATTTCCTCAATGATGCTTTGCAGAAATTGATCAAACTACAGAACAAAAGTGGCAGGACATTTAATGTGACTTTAGATGTCATTGTACCTTGTTGGGAACAAAATAATTTACCTTTTAGAGGATCACAAAGAATGACTAGAAGCCCACAATCTGGAATGTTTCCAAATTTAGATGTCAATACAGCTAGTAATGAAGATAATGATAAAACTGTATCTGTGCTTTATTTCTGTAATAAAATACCAAAGCAGTATCCAATGCTCTGAGGAAAAAGTTATTCATGAAACACAGTTGACAATATCAAATTCAAAATATGCAGAAAAAAAATTCAAAATACGCTTCCTTACATTGAAATAGTACAACAGGAAGTGGGAATAAATATACCGTGCAACAGTATATTCATATTGTAGACCTAAAGGAAGAAGCTGAAACACAGAATGTAACATTAATAAGTCCACTTGAACAAAGGTAAGGACAACTACCAGGAAGACTCAGACCCAAATATCCTTCGATATAAGCTCTGTTTAGTCTCTGTTACAAGATTTTCAAAGGAAATAAGGAGGACAAGGAGTGGGCTGACATTAAGCTGTTTGTCAGGAATCCCCACTGGTTTACAGAAATAACACTGATTAGTGCTTGGCTATATATTGTCCAACTACAGGGTATGAGTTATGATGTCCGGCACATGGCACTGATAGGTTAATTTATAGCCGATAACAGTCTAGTCTACACAGCAAGCAGCTAAGGGGAGTTGTGGGACATAACTGCTGCCTCATTCCCATGCCTCTCTGAACCTGATAATTTAGAGGAAGCTCACATTCCCCAGATAAAAAGTGCCTTTTCCTTCTCAGTATTAAATATGCTGTCACAATAGAAGAAAGCTTCACTGATTTCTGAAAGGATGTGTTGAGACTGGAAACCCAAAATGATAGTGAATGCCCTGAGTTTTGGTCACACCCTCACCTAGGTGAGAACCTAACCAAAAGGGGAAAACTATTAAACAAATTATGGAAGGTCATCGTTTTGGTTTGAACGCCTGCGTTAGGCCACACTGAGCAGGCCAAACCAGAACGGAGACATTCACACTGAATGCCACACAACCAAGCTGAAACTTTAAGGAAGCAGATAGATCCCAAAAGAGATCACCTGCTCCCTGAAGAGATTCCAGTCTACCTGAGTCGGCATAAACATGTCCCCTCTGTTGCAGCATAAAACAGTTTAAGAATACAAAGAGACCAGTGGAGACCAAAGGGAATTTTGTTTCCGACGCTGTAGACAGCAGCAGACTCATGCCTAAAAAGGCGACTGACCCCAACAAAAGCGGCAGTTTCACTTATATGCTGTTTGAGGCGGGAAATCAAGGCAGGAGGCGGGTTTCAGACAAAGGCAGTCAATCGAGTTTTACAATCTTGGGCTTCGTGGTCATTTGACTCAAGAGTCTTGCGGCTGAGGTAAGGGGTAGAAAGGTGGGGGGAGGTCACCCAGGGAGATCAGAAGAACAGGAAATGCAGGAATGTGTGGGCTGCGGACCTAAGGGCATGCTCTGCTCTTAACTACATAGAGGGTGGTGCTCGGTCTGCTTCGCCTTTACTTTTAATAAACTACCACCTGTGTTATGCTTACTATTTAAACTACATTCTGTTCTATCTTATTTCCTTTTATTCCATTTTATTTTCCTTCCGCACTCTGCTTTACCTGTTACCATAACAAGTAATCAGAAGTTATCTAATATTAACCAATCGGTTGCGATTTTCTATTGTTCTGTTTCCTTGTTCCCACCTTACACAACACAGTGTTCTGCTACCGCCCACTGGGTAAGTCCAAAAATTTTAAATCTGCATGTCCCTCAAAATAGTATAAACGGCCGGGCGCGGTGGCTCAAGCCTGTAATCCCAGCACTTTGGGAGGCCGAGGCGGGTGGATCACGAGGTCAGGAGATCGAGACCATCCTGGTCAACATGGTGAAACCCCGTCTCTACTAAAAATACAAAAAATCAGCTGGGCATGGTGGCGCGTGCCTGTAATCCCAGCTACTCAGGAGGCTGAGGCAGGAGAATTGCCTGAACCCAGGAGGCGGAGGTTGCGGTGAGCCGAGATCGCGCCATTGCACTCCAGCCTGGGCAACAAGAGTGAAACTCTGTCTCAAAAAAATAAATAAGGGCAACGAAATAAGGCAACTATGAATAGACCAATTAGCATAGAAAAGCTTGGAAATGTCCTTAAAGATCTCCCAGTGGAAAAGGCTCCAGGACCATCTGGATTCACAGCTCAGTGTAAGCTGAGTTTAACTTAATGTGATTTTTATGGTTGTGCATCGCATATATGTGATGGTGGTCCCATGAGATAATAATGAAGCTGAAAAATTCCTAAACTCATGGCTCATGTCATAAACTCATGGCTCAACGCATTACCTTTTCTATGTTTTGATACCATGAAAGAAAAATAAATCTCAGGACCCCCAAATCACTAAGCCAAGGGAAAAGTCAAGTTGGGAGCAAGGTCAGGCAAACCGGCCTCTCATTCTATTTCTAAATAAGACAGCAGCAAAGATAAAAAGCTACATACCTCCCTCACGATTTGCCCACAAGGAATTTCCTTGTGATCAAAGGACAGACAGAAGTCAAAGTCATTCCTCTGAGGCTCACGTGAGACAAATACATAACTGATTGCTTCCTCTGCCCTATTGTTAACGTAAAAATGCAAATTCGCTGAGCCAAACTAAATTGTGCATTCAGTGGAAGGCTGATCAAGGATTTTTTAAAAAATGCAACCTTCTGACCTGGAAGCACCTCCACTTCCTGCTTCCAGCTGTTACGCCTGACTGGACCAAAGGACTGTACATCTTAGACATATTGATTGGTGTCTCATGTCTCCCAAAAACGTATAAAAGCAAGGTCTACCCTGACCACCTTGGCACATGTTGTCAGGACCTCCTGAGGCTGTGTCATGGCATTCATTTAACCTCGGCAAAATAAGGTTTCTAAATTGACTAAGACTGGTCTCGGATATTTTGGGATCATAATGCATAATCACCATGGTGTTCCAGGTCACTACATCATTCAGTACAGAGACGTGCTGTACAGGTTTATGCCATACCATAGAACTTACATGCAGACTGGGCTACACCAACCAGGTTTTATAAGGACACTCAATGGTGTTTCCACAAAGATGAAATCACCTAAGGACACATTTCTCAGAAAGCATCCACATCGTTAGGAGATGATTGAGTGTATTTTAAATGGTCAAAGCCTAGGAGAAAAAAGAAAACTGTTATGGTTTAATAACAATGCTTGGCAGGCCGGGCGCAGTGGCTCAACCCTGTAATCCCAGCACTTTGGGAGGCCGAGGCGGGTGGATCACGAGGTCAAGAGATCGAGACAATCCTGGTCAACATGGTGAAACCCCGTCTCTACTAAAAATACAAAAAATCAGCTGGGCATGGTGGCGCGTGCCTGTAATCCCAGCTACTCAGGAGGCTGAGGCAGGAGAATTGCCTGAACCCAGAAGGCGGAGGTTGCGGTGAGCCGAGATTGCGCCATTGCACTCC